ATATATATATATATATATATATATATATATATAAAGTAAATAAAGTGCAGAATGCAAATCCGCTAGTCATACGGCAGTTTTATTCGTAACAGCAGACTTCGGGCTAAAATAATTTCTGAATTTCCAAAGTTATTCTTCCAAATAGACGCACGCGGTTTTCCGTACAAAACAAAATTGGCCTAAGCTCCACCTGAAGAGATCCATATCTCACTAGTTTAGCACGGCGACCACTCGATGTGCCAAACTTATTCCGTATCAAAATTCCGCCTTGCTCGAAGCTGTTATGCACCAGTACGACACTAAGAGGTCGTCAACACTTTGAAAAGTTACCTGTTACGACAGATCACGATACGTACCACGTTCAGAAAATTTACAAACAGATTAGCATTTGCAATCAGCTCCAGTAGCAGACTCATTAAATAGCTTTGACAACTGTGTATGACACCGCTGCTAAAACCTTAGAAGCTAGTTTCATACACAACTCCATATGGCAAATAATTCAAAGAAACTAAAATTTCCCTTGCAATGAATACTTCTTTCAATTACAGGAGGACCACGCAGTAAACTGCAGGATATCCTACACGAAATGAAAACCAGACTTTGGAATTCAGAGTTCCAAAAATTGCAGAAACACAGTGTAAAAAATTTTCGCTAGACAGAACATCATGAAATGCTACTCTTTCCCAGAACCCCCAGTGTTTTGAGATTCTGATGCAAATGCAGCATTTTAGCAGTTTTTATCACGCTGTTCCTCTCATCACTTTGCAGAATAGTTAAAATTTTCCAAAAGCTCCTAGCCACCCCTTTTAAAACTGAACGGCAGTAATTCTGTCGTTCCAAGGGCAGAGACTTAAAATATTATTTTGCTCATGCAAAGATAATTTCTAGCTGACCTTTCCACGTTTTTACCGCAACATTGCTCAAAGAAGATATTTGCGCGAAGACTCATGCAGATTCGCCTGGGTAATTTCTTTGTAGTAGTCTGATTGTGCAATGAGCTATCAGAGTCTAAAAACCCAACTGTGTTCCCCAAACTTCTAAGCCAGCTGCTGAAGGTAGAGCAGCATAACAAGTTATTAATCCGCAAAAATCCCTTTCACATCTTAATCTTTACGTTGTTTCTTCTTAATCTCACGCGTAAGTAAAGCACAAAACATGGAAAGTGTTTGAGAAAATGTCGGGCTCTTGCATTCTTGAAGCCTTTCCCAAAGGTGCAATCAAAATAACGCAAAATACCTATAGCCCTCTCTTTTTAAAATGCGCCACGTGCAGACCCTCATGTTGTGCAAGGACCAAACAACAGTATTGTACAAAACGCTCACAACTCCTAAGAGTCCCTAATTGTAAAGAAAACTTGATATGGAGTAGATGACTTTCATAACAAGGTTGTCGAAAAAGAATAACGGAAAAAAGTACATACGAAGCACTTCCCCGAAGCACTCCACGTACCGCGTTAACGATTAAAGAAACCAACTAACCTAATTGCACCCTTGACAATGTGCGACGGTAAGTTAGTTATTGGAATAGCCTCGCTATAAATCTCGTACAAGACTCTTAAGAAGTAAAGAACGACCATAACCGCTATGTCCGCAGTCAAGTGTGTCGTCATCTCTCCATTTTATAGAATCTCTTCCCCAACAACAGTCTGAGATGAGTGCTTACCAAACTATTCCGCACTGGAACCACCTCTAGAAATCGTAAAAAGATGGTAACCTACATGAACCAACTCCACTCAAATAGAAAGGAATTCTCATTAAGACAGATTCGAACATTCAAAGCAAAAAGTTAGCACGAAAAAATACTCCCACAGCTCCAAGACCAAAAGCCCTACCGTATTTCAAGACAGATATCCGGGTTACCAAACCCACTCTGCTGTGAAAAAAACTTGCGAGTGTAACCTAGACTATCAATGGTGACTCAAAAACTCAATACGGATCTCACTTATACCTTTCTCTGGAAGGAAAAAAAGGTTTAATGTTAAAAACTTAGTGCTCAGCAGCAAAATTATTCCAAAGATTTTTGAGCTTCAAATAGGTCAAAATTCAACAGCAGAATATTCCTAATAGATAATAAGCAATAACAAAAACTTGTTCAGCACAAAGTTTGAAGAAAAAGACGTTCTAACATTTATAGTTTATTCGTGAACAAAGTTGACAACAAAGCAACTCCATTGCAAAAAAAATGATAAAAAAGCTGCAGTAACGCTCATCGTTTGCCTCCAACACGCGGCTGGCTCATCTTCACCGGCTTCGGAACTTTTTGTTTTGTCGTAGCAGCCCTCTTTTCCTAGAAGTATATTGTTTAGAAAAAACAGGCCGCACTCGGAGGAAACAGAATCCCAAAGGTTATCAAACACGTACCATATTATATAAAAGTATAAACATACAAAAGTAAGCAGTAATATATAAGAAACAAG